AAGTGGGCCAAGGACTGCAAGGGGAAGGAGGCTACTGAGAGTGGGGACCTGGCCTTCACTTGTGGCTATGAGGAGATCTCAGACCGGGATGTGGAAGAGAAGCCCAGCCTGCCACCCAGGAAGGAGTCCATCATTAAGTCAGAAGGCGAGTTGCTGGAGAGGCAGAGGCCTCCCCCCAAGCCTCCAGGCATGATTTTGCCAATGATCCCCCCGAAGCAGTCAGCAGCCCCAAAAGACAGCAAGAAGCCTGAGCTGAAACCTGAGAAGAGCAAACTCTTCCAGCTGAAGAATGAAATGGGGTTGGAATGTGGACACAAGGTGTCAGCCAAGGAGGTGAAAAAGCCAAACCTCCGGCCCATTGTCAAGCCAACCAAGCCAAAAGCTGAGCCTGCAGAGGACAAGCCTGAACCAATCACTCAGAACCCCTTCTTGAAGTCAAGACCTCAGATCAAGCCCAAACCCGCCGCAGCCCCTCGGACTGACCCTCCTCCAGCTGATGACAAACTGGACATTTGCAGCCTGCGGAGCAAGCTGAGACCTGCCAAGTGCCCAGAGAAGCCCCCTGAGCAGGACACCACCGCCAGCGAAAGCTCCTGCAGTAACCCTGCAGTTGCCCCAGAGGCTTCTGGAAGGTTTCAGGAGCGACCAAGCATAGAGAGCAAAGCCCTTCCCAAATGCCCCCCAGGCCCAGCCGTTGCCCTGGCTGCCCGAGAGCCCGCACCGCAGCGCCCGGTTGTGCCGCCCCGCCGGCCTCCGCCACCCAAGAAAACGACGTCTCCTGTTGCTGGCCCCGCGCCTGAAGCCAGGGCATCCCCGCTGCCAGGGAGGCCCATGCTGGTTCCCCCCAAAGCCAGGCCCTTCCTGTCTGCTGCCATCCAAGACGAAGCCAAAGCAAAAAGCAGCATAGGCCCAAAGGTAATATCCAAAGTGGTGGAGAGAGGGGAAGGAAGGGAGAGGACGTCAGCCCCCTTCTCCAACCCAGATGTCTCCAAGGAAGCTCTCTACGTGGCAGTGGCGGATTTTGAGGGTGACGAGGAGACCAACAGCTTTAGAGAAGGGACTTTGTTTGAAGTGCGTGAGAAGAACAGCAGCGGCTGGTGGTTCTGCAAGGTCCTGACTGGGGGGCCCTGCTGGGAGGGCTGGATCCCTTCCAACTACCTGCGGAAGAAGCCATAGCCTGTCCTGTTTACACGGTTGGAGGTTCCCTGTTCTCCCACCTATTTAATTAGAGTCTTAATTTATAGTTTTCCGTAAGGCTGGCTTTAAAAAATAATAATTGAAATCCCATACATTCCAGCTGATGCCCCTCTCCTGCCCCGAGCTCCTGCTCTCTCTTGGCCTGGCATAGCAGCCCTACACGTGGGGTACAGTGGCCAGCACAGTTCTCCATGCTGGGGAGAGCCTTGGTAGATGGGTTTTGCCACCTGTACAGGAAATTCAAGAAGCAGCAGCAGCCAGGGAGAGAAACGCAGCTTGGTTTGGTATCAGTGAAGGAAATGTAGCCTCATGGATGGATTTGCTTTTCAGTGAGGCTCAGGGTCATGATTGAGTGTTGTATGTTGTATTGCTTAATCCAAGTGTGTAGCAGAGTTGTACAAGAGATGTGGCAAATGGGGGGGACTGTTGCTCAGAACAGTCTGTCCCCATAGCCCTGTGTGCATTTGCAGACGTGAATATATGCTGGAGGCACTCTGGGCTCTGCCTTGCTTTCCCCTGCACATGCATTGGACAGTCCCATGGTCTCTCCCCATTCCACAATGACAAGTGTTAACTTAAACATCCTCCTGGTGGGAAAAAAAGAAGGAAAAAGAAAAGAAAAAAATGCGCATGAACACATACAGCAAGTCCTCTCTGCAGACTGTACCTTGCCATGTTACAGCCAAACAACAAGAGGTGTTTTGCTTCGGTAGCTGAAGAATACTATGCAACACACAGAGGACCATGATGACCCCAGAATCCCTGGAAAGAGGATGCTTTGTTTCCCTTCTGACACAGACTGCACTGCCTGTTGGACTAATAGGGGACCACCTGTTCCCATGACCCACTGAGCTTCCCAGGGCTGGCAGGCAGCAGCCAGGTGGGTCTTCCAGTAGGTGCTGATCTTATCAAGTGCAATCCGGAATGTGGGAGCTCAGCTACTCATCGCATCCAGTTGTGAGGTGTGGCTGGTGCTCAGGTGCTCCCTCCTTTGTCACCCTAGCTTTCTGTTCTCCTCTCCACAAGTGCTTTCAGCTCACCCTGTGTGTTGGTTGGCTCTGGGGGCATCGGGTCAAACAGAGCGGGTTTTATTTCCACACTGACACTGCTGCCTGCTGGGCCTGATCCTGCTGGCAGTGGTGTGTGTCCCAGGGGGAGGATGAAAATGGTCTGCTTGGCTGCCTCTTCTTTATGCCACTTTCTTCTCTTGCAGATTCAGAGCCACGTTTCTTTCTTTAGAAGAGCTTCATGCCCTTTGCTGCGGTGGGTTTGTGGTTGACCAAGCCTATGTGCCCTTGTTATTCTAATTGCAAGGGGAAGTGCTGCAGATGCAGCTCTGCAGCCACATTGTTTGGCTGCTGAAAACAATAAATGTTCTCCTTTTAATTGGAGGTTGGTGGAATTGAAGACAGTCTGCACGCCAGAGCCATGCTGCCACCTCCCCTGTGCACCTTCTGCCTTCCCCTGTCCTGTGCTTTCTGCGCTGGAATTGTGGGCTTAAAGATACATCTTTGTATATGCAAACTGGGCAGGGTTGCACTGGGAAGGTGATGGTTCATCCCAGCCCCACTGTAGCTATAGGGAAGCCCTCACCATTCCAGCAATGCCAGAAGCCCAAAGGTTCATTTAGGTTGCAACCTAACCCAGTAACAGATCCCCATTAGGAGGTGTTGGTGTGTTCCCTGGAGACTTGCACGGGGGGTTGGGGAAGAAATGCTGCCTTTTCTCTGCTCCAGTAAAACTCCTTTGCTGTGGCAATGAGGGGGGCCAGGCTGAGATAAGGCAAAGTAGCCCAGCTGAGCCATGGGGGACATAGGTCCCCATCCCCTCTGGCTGCTGGCAGTCACAGTGGGGTGAAAGCAGTGTGCCCTTGTCCCAAGACGGCAGATCCTTGCTCCTTCTGTGCTGAATGTCCTAACCCCTGAAATGGCTCCCCTTTCTCTGCCTCGTCATCGCCCTCACTGATCCCACTGTTCCTCACCAAGAACAATCCTCTTTCTGTTGCTTCTTTCTGTTGCTTCTAGCCTAAATGAGGGCTATTTCTGCTTTCCTCCCAGCCTGGGCCTCGGAACTCGTCCTGCTTCATTTTGCTGACACAAGTACTGTATTGGGCTCGTTGAGCACATGACAGCATCAGTCTTTTGTTTCCAAAGATCTTCCCAGCATCACAGAGGTGTCATCCTCAGTGTGACAGGGGCAGCAGGACCCTTACCCCTTGCTGCCGCTCTTCTGTCTGCAACGGCACAGGAGCCCCAGCAGGAAGGTGCCGTCGTGCTGACGACACGTTTGGTGCCACACAGGTGTGCCAGCCCTCTGTGCTTCCATCTGGCGCTACCTTGTGGGTGCTGAGCCCCCGACTGCCTCGTGAGGAGGAGGAGGTTGGCCCGTGGTACTCAGGCACCTCAGCGGGGGGATGTGGGGAGCTGGGGGAGAGGGCTGGAGGCGCCAGCTCAGTCTCACTCGCTGTGTCTGCCCAGGTCTCGCTGTACGATGTAAGCGTGTATAAATCTGCATTACTGTGGGCGGGTGGGGGTGGCAGCGGAAGATAGATGTAGCTGTGTAAGTGCCGTATCTATACGTTCACCATTAGGGGTTGGGTTTCGTGGGTTGGTTTTTTTGTTGTTGTTGATTTTTTTATTTTTATTTTTTTTCATTCAGTGGGGTTTGGAAGTTTGGGGTTTGTTTTGTTTTGTTTTTTCAATTTTAATTTTTTTTATTTTATTTTTTTTCTTTTTTTAAGAAATAAAAAGAAACTGCTTGACTGGTTTCAAGCACCCCTGTGACCCCGTCTCTGCCTGGTGTGTGTCTGTGCTGTTCCTGGGCCCCAGCTCTGCATAGGGACTGCTCTGGGCACTGCGCACCATGTCCTGTAGGTGTAAGGACAGGGCAAGGGTGGTGACATCCAGGAGCCTGAGCACAGGCTTTTGTTTCACCATCCTCACACCCGAATGCTATGGGGGCAGTGTGTGTATGTGGCCGTATGAATGGTAAGGAAAATGCCTTCTGGCATTGTGCACATGCTGTGCTTGGTCAAGGGGCCTTGGGGCAGGCTGTCACTACAGGATGAGGCAAGTACAGAGGATAGGAAAAGGCAGGGGCCCTGGATGCCCTCCCCAGGAATCACACAGGTGTGGTGCAAGCTCTGAAACTTGCAGCAAGAGCCTGCTGGCATCTCACAGGCATCAGCCCCCCTCTGCAGATAAGACTGGGCAGCACAGGCTATGAAGAAGCATTCAGGCACCCATAGCCATCATCAGCTTCCTTCACCACCTGCAACTCATAGGAGTTGGAATGCAGACAGTTCAGTGTGGCTATGCCCTTGCCAGCACACAGTTATGAATGAATTGACCCACTCTGCTGCAAACCACATCAGAGGCTGCTGGCCTGCTGTCTGCCTGCAGCTGCCACAGGATACGAACAGCTACAGTGCATGCTCCTGTGCCTCTCTGTTAAATACAGAGCAGCTCTGCAAAACCTAAAGAACAGAAGGAAAGAGCAAGAAGCCCCAGCAGCCCAGTGTGCAGCCCTATTGGTGTGGCTGCAGCAGGATCTGCCCCTGGGCTTAAGGTGCACTGAGCTGATAACTGCAGTGATCTGCCAACTTCTCTACAGTTTGAAATGCGAGGCAGCCCTCTGTACTTGCCAAAGTTTTATTTGTTTCATAAACGAGTAAAATTATATTAATGTAAAACAGGTAAATGGACAAAAATAAAACACACACGGCACTGATCACAAGGCTACAGAGTATTGACATGTAGAGGTGCAGCTCCCCCCCCGTGCGTCCCCCCCCCACCCCAGTCCCAATGAGTTGCTTGAGAAGCTCAATGCAGAGGTCCAACATCTGAGTCAGCTTCAGCATGTTGTGCAGATCACAGGACTGAATCATAAAGGAAGCAAGAGTAACTGCCTCAGAAGGGGAAAGGAAAGGGGTTCCCCTCACTCTGCTGTTTTTTCCCCCTCTCTTCCTCTTTCTAAGAAAGAAAATGAACTCAATAGGAGCAGAGGGAAAAAAAATATCAATGGAAATTAACACTATTTTGCTACTATATATATATATGTATATATATGTAACTTCATACACACACATATATATATATATAAATACAAAGCAGGCTTCTTGGTGAACACAAAACTCTACAACACTACCATTGATCTGTGTTATGTTCTCCCCGTTTTATTTTAAAAGTTGTTTTTAAAAAGGATAAAAAGTGCACAGACACCCTGATAAGGCACAAACAGCTCTTCTGTACAAATCATGTATCATCGGACTGTTTAAAAAAAATAGCAATACGAGTACTAACGATTAAATCTGTTAAAGGCTGCCTTTTCCTGCAACTCTTTGAGGGGCCTCTGCCACTGTTTTCAAAAAATCCCTGTTGCTCTCTGGCAGGGAAAGCCCCCACTGCTGCCTGTTACCCCCTGTGCTGGGTGCTGGCTCTACTCATTCCCCCCAGCGGCTCACTGCTTGCTGGTGGTGCCCTCCTGGAAATCAATTGCAGCTGCAGCAGCAAAAACCACCCCTCTGCAACCTGCTCAGCTGGTAATTTTTGCCATTTCTCCTTGCTGGCTTAAAATATAAGAGCTGCACCAAAAAATGAACCAGGTGTGCAGTCAGCCCTGCTTGTTGAGGACCTGAGGTGCCAGCCAAGCAAATGGGCTACATGCATCATTGCAGCTGAATGCCAGCTCCAAACAGAGCAGGCAGTCCCTGCAACAGGGAGTGTGGGGACAGCCAGTGGCATCTGTTAGTCCAGTGTGATCCCAGCCAGCATCATTTGCTGTGAATTCAGCTTTCCTTGAGCTCCTCCTCCTGCTAAGAGTTCCCCCTGCAGCCCATGCACAGCAAGGGCACAGGGCAGCCCACCTGGCCAGGTGTCACCCAACAGCCCCAACTGTGCAGGCAGGCAGCCTTGAGGTCATCACTGCAACACTTCAGCTACTGGAAAACACCTTGGCCTCTTGATTATGCAACGGTGGTGCTGTACAGGCAGGGATGAGCCACGTTTCCCAAAAGGGCTCTGCAATACCAGCAGGCACTCGTGTCGATGAAGCAGGACAGTGGCTGAGAAATCCCATTTTAAAGCAGCCTCTCATCTATACACTTAATTGAAATGCTCATTAGCTCTTTAAGTTTTAAAACAAAAAAAAGTTTTCTCTATGCCCTGCCTGTTGGGTGTATGTAGGACAGCTCACTGCCCCCAGGGGGAGAGAGAGCAGCCCCAAGCCCCCGCTGGGCAGCATGGCCAGGCCACCAACAGCAGTAGCAGCAGAGAGTCAGCAGCACACCCATGGCATGGAGGGACAGGAGCATCCCTCTGCACTCAGCGGCCCTGCAGCACATGGGTTGCTTTTCTCCATTTTTGGATTGAAATGTGGTAACTGCACCTTTCTTACTCACTTGGTGGCACACAATCATTGAGCTAGAATGACATCAGCCCCTCTTTCAGCCTCTGGTTTGCATCATGAAATGCAGCCAGGCCTGAGTCTTGTGTGGGAGGAAGCCTGCAGGGGGACAAAGGATAGGGGAGCTCCTGTGGGAGCATCAGGGAGGACACCAAGCCCTGCACAGACCCACTGCCTGCCCATACACTTCCCTCCTCCTCTAGATTGCTGCTGCTCATGGCTGTCTAACACCACAGCTGAAATCCATTTACCTTTTAAGTCTAATAATAGCCTCAGAGCCTTTCCTTCCACCTCCCCTGCAAAGCCAAGTTTGATCCCTATTCATCCCAATGAGTTCTTGCCTGTGGCTGAAGCCTCTCCTGGCAGCCAGTGTGTGGGCAGTGGGAGCTGTGCTGGGAAATCCAGAGAGGCAGAAGAAAAATGGCACAGTGCCCAGAAAGAAGGTGAGCCCACAGGGACTGGGGAAGGATAAGAGACATGAGCCAAGCAGGTCCCTATGAGACCGCAATTGCCCCATGGTGGGAGGAGCAGAGCAAAACCTGGGCCCTGTTCCACCAAAAAAAGCAAGAGCTGCTGCAGCCAAGCCAAAGGAAGCAGCTCCTCCACATGCCCCAGCAGCCTGCTCAAAACCCAAACAAATGACAGTCTAGTTGTGCTACTATTTTGGCCTTTGCTTGCTCCCCTTAAATGGATGGGTATTAAATTTTCATATCAATTTTGTCCACTCCAAACCCTCCCACTCGGCCACATTCTAATTTTGCTCCACCACAGCACCAGCAGCACAGAGTTGTCTGAGCTCTGGGGCTGGGCAATCCAGCAGCACCCAGCGAACAGCGGCATTCCCTCCCAACCCACATCACATCAGCCTCATCCTCTGGAGGATAAAAAAGCTTGGCACAGGGAATTTCCCATCTGCAGCTGGGTCGGATTCCTACCGCAATTCACTCTGTGGGCACACAGCCCAGCAGCACTGCCCCATGTGATCCTTATCTCAATTTGATCCCTGAATTATGCCCTACCAATCAAATAAGGAAACACAGATAACGAGCCACTTGATTACAACTGACCAGCACGATAACCCATAAGCAGGGACGGAAAGGCATGGTTACTGCTAGCGGCGGTCTCCCTTCCCAAGCCCAAGCCGGGCGCTACGGGCGGTAAATCTTAATAACATCTTTGATGACCCGTCGGCAGATGGGGCAGCAGGCGTTGAGCTGCTTCTTCAGCTTAAGACCACAGGTGTTGCAGAGGCACATGTGTCCACAGGTATAGATCACCGTGTCCACCTCGCTGTCAAAGCAGACGGTGCATTCCCCGTTCTTGCTGCTGGATGGCTCCGGAGGGGGGAAGACGGGAGAGACGGGGGGGCTCAGGGGAGAGCTGGGAGCAGTCACTGGAAGAAGGAAGAACAACAAGGTCATTCAGTCACAAGTGTGCACACTTGATATTATACAACATGTGGGTATGAGTGATGGATCGACGGTTGGACTAGATGATCTCAGTGGTGTTTTCCTACCTCAATGATTCTGTGACCATTCCCAGGTCTATATTTTAGGCCCTTCTTTCTATAGCCTTCCCCACCCATGGCCCAGCATCCTTCACCAGCCAGTATCCACAACCCCACTGTGCTGCCCACCCGGCAACCCTGCGCTAAGCCCTCCTTACCAAGCGAAGACTCCGAGGCAGACGATGACCTGTTGACACTGAAGGCCATGTCAGAGTCGCTGTCGTACTGTGAGCCACCGGGGGACCCTGAGGGTGAGACGGTCACTGGGCTGGACTGCACAGTGCCTGCAAGTACAGGAGAGGACTCAGCCCCCTTGGGACAGAGGGACACATGGACACACAGAGCTGAGCCCCATGGTGAGCTGATACCAACCCACAGCACCAGAGCTGCCCTCACAAAACCCACTGCTCTTAACAAAGGCAGGAATCCAACACCTGTTGGCTGGAACCATGGGCTTATAAAGAATCTTCTTTACACACAACTCTGAAAACTAGCCAGATGCACACACAGCTCTCCTGGCTTCCTTACATGCTGTTCATTTTACCTCTTAGATCTCAGCCCTTCCTGGAAGGTTCACAAAGGCATCTCTGGCAGTGACAGCTGCCATGAGTTGCTCCCTCCTGCTCAGCAGCACAAGGTTGGGTCAGGAGCTGCATATGCTCATCACTGATCACCTTACACAGGCAGGTGACGACAGCCCATAGCTCTCTTTTACCAATCAGGTGCTCCCTGTTATTCTGCCCTTCAATAACTTACCCAGTATTTTGAGCTGGTTGATTACACCATGGATTGTAAAAAACACCCAGAGAGACTGCGAGGTATCCACGCACATCAGCATGCCGCGGCTTGCTCCATTCACCCCATGGTGCACCTCGCCGTTTGGCAAGACCGTGAAATTGAGGATGTCACCTCCGCTGAAGACCGGGAAGGCCCGGAACACCACCCAGTACTCTTTGCGGTCCAGGAGAGAGTCCGGATCTGCTGGGAGCTCGTTTGTCCTTAAAGTACTCGGATCACAAGAAGTGATGCCAAACGAGAGGGCCCCGTAGTATGGCAAGCCAAGGTGTCCCACTTCCACAAACAGGCTCTCGCCGACGTGCAAAGGGCGGTCAGAAAACACCAAAGTCCTATTGCTCTCTTGCCAGTTGGTGCAGGCGACCATCCGGTCCTGGGAAAAGGTGATGTCAGGTCCATGGGTGGGGTGAAATCGCAGGTCTGTGTCCAGGAAGGCCGGGACCCCCTGCACACGCAGCCGCCGGTTGGGGCAGCAGGGGATGATGTGGTTGTCTGTCACAAGTCCCGGCACCCGGCTCAGGTTTAGGTTTGCTATTTTGGCCACCACTTGATTATTCTCCAGTTCGTTGTTATTGAAGTTGGCCGAGTCGTGGTTGCTCTGGGGAAGGCAAGAGCTGAGACGGGCGGTGTTGAGACGTGCAGTGGTCTCTGCAAACATGCTATCTGTGAGATAAACCCAGCAACAAGGGGCATCAGAAACAGTTGGCTACTTTTACCACTACTTGTGTTGTTATTCCAGCCTATGGATGACCTGAGTTCTGTTCCTCCGAATAGAAAAACAATGGAAAAATTAGATAGAGGTCAACTGCTGGCAAACAGAGCACTCATGGGGAGCAGGCAGCAAGCAGAACAGCTGCATTTTGGCACCAGCTGAGGTGTTGTGAAATACTCATCTAATCTGGGAGCTCCTTGTACTGGTGAGCCAGGAGAAGCTGCAAACTAGCATGGTCCTCCAGCTTTCTTATGTCTAATACCTTTGAGAATACTTTTTAAAGGAAGAAATACCTCAACATCCCAGTATCCAAAAGTCTTTCGCAAGCCAAGTCTGCAACACAGTGATGGGTGAAGGAGTGGAGGAATCAGCGTGTATTTATTTTGCACGTCTTGTTACCTTATGACAATGACATATGTAGGCACTGGTGTGTCTAAGAGAGGTCATTCTACAAAAGCATTTCAAGCCTCATACCTCAGGGTACAGCACTACAGAGACTTTGAATCACAACACTAGAATGTGATGGAAAGTACCACAATAATAGCATGGTGGCAAAGTCTTCAGCTACAGCAAATAAGAATGAACTCAGATGCAGCAGCCATGGACACAGAAATACAGGAAAACAGCTGCTTACCTTCAGAAGGCCTCAGGTAGGCAGGGATCTCCAACAAGAGATGCCCTCACCTCCACTGCCAACCCTTAAATGAGGTCTGGGATTGCTGGCTCCATCCCTTCTGGTCATTCAGCTGCATTGCATGCACCTGAGCTCCACTGGGTTGGCCCTGCCTTCCCACCAGGTGCTCAATCACTGCTTCAGGCCATGACTCAGTATTTCCACTACAAGAGTTTGTATGATAGCTCCTTGCTGCTGATGTCAGAAAGAAGATTTTTTACAATAAGAGTTGTTTTCCCCTTTTACAGCAAAGGTCAGGTCAGGATGATGACTCTTAAATCATTTCTTCACCTTGGCCATGCCAGGCCCAGGGGGGATTTCAGGATTTGAGGAGGTTCAGGAGTTGTCTTCCTTCTCCATGCCACCTGAGGTGGCATGAAATGCTTCCCCAGAGCTGCAAGTCACATCTAAGCTTCATGATGCTGAAAGATACATTTTATGCATCTGTATGCTGGCTGCATTTCACAGCTTTCTCAACTTTCAGGATTTGGGGAGGAGGAGTCAGAGAGATGAACAGGTCTGCTAAGACACCACCACATCTGGAGGGAGGAAGATGCATCTTCTGGTGCCCAATGGCTCAGCATCACCCTGATGTCTGGGACAGTTTATGGGGCTTGGCATCCTGATCCAAACCAAAGCAGAGCACAGGTGCCCCTGGCACAGGCTTTTACTGTGCACTCTGCCTCCACAGGCAGGATGGAGTGAAAGCAGAAATAAGCAGCATTTTATTTGTCTAACTATAACCTACTGAGGAAGAAGGGCTGCTCTGGTGAAGCAGCTGCATTGGGCAGAACAGCAAACACCTCCTCACCTCTTTGATGAGCACCAGAGGCTGGAGAGTGTCATGGTTGCAATTGCAAGATAAGCTACTGGAAAGGTTTAATTACACATTTGAGACAGAGCAGGCAAGGGCAAAGTGTTGTTTATGCGTAACTTTCTCAGCTGTAAAATAATTGGTACCATTCTGAAGAATCTGTCAGAGCTGCCTGCCCCTAGACTAACCATTTTGCAGCCTGCAGCTGGGACCTGGCTGTAAAGCAGCACCATGTTTTTCCAAATCATAGTAGCACATCTAGCTCCGTACAAGCTGAAGAAAGCTACATGTAAAGATTTACATCTAGCCCATCACATGGCTGCTGTGATGTACAATGGAGATTTAGATTAGGGGTCAGAGGGTGGTGAGGCACTGGCACTGCTGCCCAGGGCTGTGGTGCACCATCCCTGGAGGTGCCCAAGGCCAGGTGGGATCGGGTCCTGCACAGACTGATCTGGTGAGAGGCAACCAGCCCAGGGCAGGGGCTGGAAATGGGTGTTCTTTGAGCTCCTTTCCAACCCACCACATCCTGTGATTCTATGATTCTTAGGACTTTCCATGACTGATTTCTCTGAAATGTCCTGTTTTCTGCATCCCACACCAAAAGAAAAATCATTAATTTGATGAACAAAACCGATCAGAAATTAGTTGTTCTTAAGTGTCCCACAGAAGTAATCAACCAGATAAACCAGGCATTTGTTTTCCACGAAGATGATGCTGTGGAAAGAGCAAGCAGAAGAGCAAGCCAAGGGCCAAAGACACACTTACCTAGTATTTGCACTTCGTGGGTAATTCCATAGACATCTATGAGTGCCCAGAGAGGACCGGAGACTTTAATACCACAGTGAAACAATATCGGCTCCTCGTCATTAATACTGTAGAAGACTCTCCCGTGACGGTCAACCCAGAAGGCCAAGACATTGTCCCTGACAGCAAACCTTTCTGGCAGGGCTTTGGCCCAGTAGCCGGGCCGGGTCACCAGGTCCGGGCAGGCGTACTTTGGTATGTCGTCAGAGCTCATCTGCGACGGGTCGTGGATGGTGAAGCCGAAGCGCAGGGCCCCGCTCCAGCCATGGTGCACAGCCACCAGCTTCAGCCGCACCTTCTCGTAGACGTGGATGGGCCGGTTGGTGAAGGTGAGCCCGTTACAGAAGCTGTTCCTCCGCGTGGCCCGTCGGGAATGGGCGTCCAGCCGCACGTTTTTGCCCTTGGCGTGGGAGTGGAAGCGCAGCGGCTCCGTGACGGTGAGCACTGAGCGGCGCTCATGGCTGCTGTTGGGCAAGCTGTAGTAGGGACGGCTGGAGACCGAGCGGGTCTGGTGGCCTGTGTCTGCAAAGGGAGAAAACAGCAGTCTGTCAGAAGGACCTGAGCGTGGCCGTGTGTTGGCTCAGCCTTGAAACTCCATTACCAGCCTTTCCCGGTCTGGTGCTTGGCACGACAATACTTTTAAAATCACAGAATTGAATCACAGAATTGTAGGGGTTGGAAGGGACCTCCAGAGATCATCGAGTCCAACCCCCCTGCCAAAGCAGGTTCCCTACAGCAGGTCGCACAGGTCGGCATCCAGGCAGGTCTGGAACATCTCCAGAGAAGGAGACTCCACCACCTCCCTGGGCAGCCTGTTCCAGTGCTCCGTCACCCTCACCGTAAAGAAGTTCTTGCGCACATTTGTGCGGAACTTCCTATGCTGCAGTTTCCAGCCGTTTCCCCTTGTCCTGTCTCCACTCACCACTGAAAACAGTCCAGCCTCGCCATTCTGCCCCCCACACCTTAGATATTTATAGACCTGGATCAGATCCCCTCTCAGTCTTCTTTTCTCAAGGCTGAACAGACCCAGTTCACTCAGCCTTTCCTCATAGCAGAGATGCTCCAGGCCCTTCACCATCTTTATGGCCCTCCGCTGGACTCTTTCCAAGAGATCCCTGTCTTTTTTGTACTGGGGAGCCCAGAACTGGACGCAGTACTCCAGATGAGGCCTCACCAGGGCAGAGCAGAGGGGGAGGATCACCTCCCTCGACCTGCTGGCCACGCTCTTTTTAATGCACCCCAGGATGCCATTGACCCTCTTGGCCACAAGGGCACACTGCTGGCTCATGGCCAACCTGTCGCCCACCAGGACACCCAGGTCCCTCTCCGCAGAGCTCCCCTCCAGCAGCTCATCCCCCAACCTGTACTGGTGCATGCAATTATTCCTCCTCAGATGCAAGACTCTACACTTGCTTCTGTTAAACCAGTTTGGCCCTCTGCTTTGTGCAGATATAGAGTAAATGTGGCTCTTGGGTGGAAAGGTTCACAGCTTTCCTCTACACCCTGCAAAGCTGGACAAAAAACTTCCTTTTGTTCTCATTGAATGCATCCGACTGCATTCGGAAAGGCCTGATACTTTCAACTGCAGCTCCCCATTTCCTATGTAAAATGCACGTGTTGTTAAATCATCATTCCAGCTGGCTGGTGCCAGATTCGCACAATCTCTGAGAATCTTGCTTGTTAAGATCAGAGATGTTCAACATGAAAGGCATAAGGAAAATTTTTGTGGGATGTGTAGCCACTGGCTTCTCTGCCCCTTAATTTTGTAATGATGAACAGGAGCTTTTGAGCAACACAAACAAACCAAGACATTTAGCAGCTGCAGGACTACCTCTACATCACCAGAGTGTTCTTCCAAAACTTTCAGCCCAGCCCTTGGTTCAGATATCAGATCCAACTGGCACAGGAAGGAACATTTCATCCCGCAAAGGCTCGCCTTTACACAGAACCTCCCATTTAAGCTCAAAGCACTTCATAAACCATGATTGTTTGCAGCTTCGCAGCACCACAGATGGCACAGAGATCCTGCCATCCTCCTTTTACAGATGGAAGAATTTATGGGTAAGATCTCGCAGCGTTTGAAGTCAATAGCAATTTCGAGACCAATTTCAAGAAAAGCAGATCTGGGGCCTAAAGTGAAGTTCAGACAAGCGTGAAGCAGAAATGAAAAAAGGAACACTTTCAGTACTGAGCCCTAGCTGTAAGTTCCTGGAGGCTGAGACCTTTGTTTTGCACATCCTGAAAGCAGGTCTCTGCTCTGGGACACCCATAATCACCACCACGGTGTCACCACCACTTTGGTCTCCTCTCTCTCACTCCCCATCTTCTCTTCTTTGCAGATTTTTAAAGCAAAAACGAATGGCATCCTGGGTGCTCAAAGTCATGCTATTAAATATAGCACCACATCACACACACACAGCCCTTTTGAGACTTTTTGCCACGTTTGAAGCTTCAGAAAACTCCTGCCTGGCCCTTCCTTCAAGCTGCTTCCTCCCTGTGTGCAGCCCCTGGCTTTGCTCTGGGACAAGGGAAGGATTTTCTGATGCCTTCCTCTCATGGGAAGGAACATCCAAAGACACCGGGAGCTCAGCTGGGAAAGCTGACAGGGGAGCTGGGCTAGGGCACCTTGTTAGCAAGCAACACTAGCTATAGAGGTGAGAGGCTCCTGTTGCCACTGAGCTCAGTGGGGCACTCCTAAATTATGACAGGCAAACGCAGTGGCTAAATAAAAGCTCTTTTGTGTTCTCCTCATTCAAATTGCATGTAACCATGGCTGCTTAACACAAGGTAATGGTTAATCCCATCTGCACGCTCATGTAAATAGATGCATCCCTACCCTAATGCCAGTAGGTGATTTGCCACTGCAATGCCAAGGACAAGGAGTCCTGGGTCAGATGGGCAGGGGAGCCCTTGGCTGTGGCCATCCTCACACAGAACCTTCTCCACAGCACAGGGCAGAGCAGGAGCCCCCAGGAGGAATCCCCCTCGTCTGCTCTCACCCTGCCAGCAAGGAACTTTGGGACAGGGTTTGGGGATTTTTTTGTTGTTTGTTTGTTGTCAAAACAGGAAAGCATATTGTGACTGAACAATAGGAAAATCTCCAGAAGGAAATGAAGGGATCATTTATTTATAACGACGTTCCCCCCGCACGAACACCTGTCTGCTGCCACCAGCAATACAGCCTGACACAAAGCGGGGCAGCCAGGCATGGCCTGCCCTCTGCAGTGTGCTGCCATGTGTTTTGCTCATCACGTCCCGCGGGGGCCAGCCAGCCCAACAGGATGTTTGTGCACTGGGATTGCCCTCATTTCCCAGTTCGCATCGTGTTTCAGTACTGCTGCTATTTCTCCAACCCCCCCTCTCTGACCTCAACACGGGGTAATGGGGACCAACACAACCATGTCTAGTTATCACACATTTGAAGGCCCTGCACCTTCTTTCCAGAAGCCCAGCGCACTTATTTCTTAGGTTGTGCTGACCTTTGGAGAGGGTTTTTAATAAACATGCACTTTGCATTTCAGAAAGATACGGCGGTCAGTACAGTACCCCATCGCTGGAAGTGCCCAAGGCCAGGTAGGATGGGGCCCTGGGCAGCCTGATCTGCTGGGGGACAGCCAGCCCATGGCTGAGGTTGGAATTGGATGGGCTTTAAGGTTCCTTTTCATCCATTCCATGACTGCATGATTCTATGAAAGGCTGATGTATTCAGGTATGGGACAGAGGGCAGCCCCAGCCCGGCCCCATGGGCATGGGGCAGCCAGTGGAGAAAGCAAGCTAGCCCCAAAGCAAGGAGAGGAAGACAGTGATCTGCATTTCCAGTGTGCTCCAGGTACGTCCCAGGTTTGCCTTAACAGTACAACCACTGCATCACGATGCATTTGCTGGGACCCTTCTGACTAAATCCATGACAAATGAAGCTTGGGATCACAGGGGAAGCAAGTGATGGGTCAGCAGGTACCCAACAGGAATACATGCTGGAGAAAGCAAGGATGTGAAGAGGACAGAAAGCACTGAGACTGCTACTACACAGCTCACCAACATGCATGATCACCCCGTGTTGTTCATGCAAGGAGAGAGAAAAGGCTGAAGGGTAGCAAGAAGCACAAAATCCATCCAGTAACGCTCACCTCACAAGCAAAAGGGAATGCAGCCAGTGCACTGTGCCTTATCTTTATGGTCGCTGCTTTATCAGCAACATCAAGACTTTTTCCTACTACAATAGATAGGTCGCTGCTACAACAACCCTGTTGAACATTAAACAAGGCTTTTGGAGTGCAGGGCAGGTGGCTTTTTCTTTGAAACAGGAATAATGCTAACAGGTAGGGAAAAGGCAGGCAAGCTTAATGCTCCTACTGCACACCTATAGAGCCATTCTCGTGGACCTAACAGCATCCATGCACAACCCTGGTCCTGCTGCATGCTGCTGCAGAGCCCCAGCAGCACACTGCCATGGCAGGATCTTATCTGCTCAGTACAAGAGATAAAATCTGGTCACCTAAAAATGTAGTGCATGGACTTTTTTCTTTTTTTTTTTCTTTTTTGAATACAGAAAACGTGTCGAAGCTCTCTGGGAAGTGCTGGGATTCCCATGTTCCACACTCAGCCATGTGCATGTGTAGCTGGGCTCCCAAAGGCACTGTACGGCTGCTGCACAAAACCAGCCTGGCTTCCAAAACCCTGACTGATTCCAGCGTGCACCAATTGGAAAATGCAACCATACAATTAATAAATATCCTCACTGGAATTCCTGTGGTTTGCATGAACAGCCCAAAGCCCTGTGCTGACAGAGGTCTCAGCCTCCCACCAGTTACTCTGATCCTTTTCTACAGGCAGCAAACACGGGCAGGGAATGTGCCAGAGCCCTGCAGAGCCACCAGCGTGTACTTCAAAGTTATTTCTAAGGCGGCGAGGCCCTGGTGCTGCTGCCCAGAGCTGTGGGTTCCCCATCTCTGGAGGTGCCCAAGGCCAGGCTGGATGGGACCCTGGGCAACCTGATCTGGTGGGGGGCAGCCAGCCCAGGGGGGTGGAACTGGGTGACCTCTAAGGTCCCTTCCAACCCAACAACATTGTGATTCTATGACTCTCATCACTAAATACAGTGTAGGTGTGACTTTGATGTGTGGCATTTTCAGAACAGTGTCTGCTGCCCCAAAATCTCCTAAGGTGTCTGTGGATATCAGCAAGTCCCCCTGCACCCACTGCATTCTCTCCAGCTGTGCCTCTCACTCTCGCTGCACACATGCATGAGTTCTGCTGCAAAGTTGGCACCATCTTTATTACAGGTTTTTAGTCCTCCTGCATATAAATAGCACTAAGAATATACAGAAGACAACGATTAAGCAGAGAAAAAAATCTCCTCTCCCCCGTATTATTAGTGAATCTGGGTCAATGAGTCTGCAACTCTAGTAACAAATTCTTAGCCTCAGTTAAGGAGAGACAAAGCAAGAGCGAGCGGGACAGAGCTGGAGAAAAGGCAGTTCGTGCCATAATCCCTGCTTAAGCACTTTGGTGCACACGCTGAA